GAGGATGGGGGTGGAGGTGGTGGGGGTGGAGGTGCCGGGGCAGAAGCAGCATTGGGTGGAGGGTTAGATGTCTCTGGCAAAGCAGAGCAGGCTATGAGCTGGGAGCATGAGATCTTTTCATTGGTGGGCAGCCCTGAGGGAGGTGCTGGTGCCTTGGAGGGGTTTGATGATCCCACTGGGCTCTGAGCTGCACGTGCACATGGCTCTAGCTCAGCCTGGACGCCTCCATTCGCACTCCCGGGCAGCTGGTTTTCAGCTTGCTTTTGCTTGCTTGGATGTGTCTTGATAGATAACAGCCTCTCGATGACTTCTTCAACTGTGTTACCTTGGACTAGAGAAATGGATCAGGGTCAGAGAAGGGGATAGGGCCTGAAAGTTGGTTCACACTATTCAACCCTTGCCAAGCAGCAGATCTGGAGCCACAGAGCCCTCTCCCTGGTGTCACTTTACACAACCGCACGTTTAGCTTCCAGGCAATTTCCTTCCCATGGTCCTGGCCCACAAACACTGTTTTGAGCATGCTTGCCAGCAAGACTAGCCAGCACCAGTGACAAGATGCCAGTGAGGACAGATTGCCCCTGATTCCCACGACCCAAAGCTCAGGGCTTAAGCATCAGAGCGAGACTGTGAATCCCAAGACCACTGCTAAATGTGGCCAGCTCTCACTGGCATCCACATGGCTGGGGCTTCGCATCAAGACTTGACCCTGTGCAGCAGGTGCAGCTTTGTCCCAGCTTCTGTTCAGCTCTTAGCAAGTCCCATGGATTATTTCTTGTGCATTTGGGAAGGACTTTTGTGGGCTCTGGGTGGGACGAGGAAAACAAGAGGAGAATGCAAGGCTGGATGGATACGTCATTCTTACTGTCATTTGCGAGCAAAAGGGCTCTGTTCACTACCGCGTCTAAGGACTCCCACAGAAGGAGGCTGGAGTGATGAGATGGTTCCAAGTGCAGCAGGCTCTGGAGGATGGACAGCAGCTGGATGGAGACTGGAGAGCGGCTCACCTGGAAGACAGGGCAGCTTTCTGTCACAGCAAGGCTGGGTCCAAGCAAAGTGTGTTAACTTTGCCATTGCATGACTTTGCGCCCCACGTGAGGACCTACTTACTTTATTGAAGAGAGATGAAAAGACCTCATGATGATCATTCATGTTTATCCCATCACATATCTTTAGTAATTCCTCATCATCTTCTATCTTGAACTCCTCAAATGTATCACACTGGATAAGCAGATCCTCCTCCTCTATGTCTCTGCAATATTACAGCATTTGTTTTCACCGGAGAGCACTTCACTGATTTTCAGATGATTGTTTTTGTTTAAATGGCTTTTATCTCTCTGCCTCTCAGACTCAGCCAGTTGGTATTCAAAGCAGCCAACTCTACCTTATTTATAAAGGGTCAAATGCCATCAGTGCATCCTTTCTCGAACTGAATGTACCTCTTTCTACAGTCAACACAAACAAATGAATGGGACTTTTCATGGCATAACCTGGCCCAGTGTATGCTTTGTATGGACTTCTTGGAGCTGTAACAACAGAGTGGCATTTCTACCTTTTTGAAACTGGGCCACCTTCTTTTTTTTTTTTAAAGTCAAGACAAACTGAAAATATTCCAGTGATGTTTCTGTTTGAAAAACTTTCTTCTCAGTTAGGCAAAATTGGATTAAAAACCCCCCAAACACTCTAAAGCCAACGTTTTCAGCACTCTTGAGACCACTCAGTGCAGGAACTCTGCCCTTGCTAGTTGTCAATATTGAAATATTGTCACTTCCCTAATTTTTATGGGGTTGAATGGAGCAATTCCAGTTATATGCGTAACTGCAACTCACATATTATGCATACTAGAATTTATCATGGGTGTTTCTGACTGACCATAATTTTAAAATTAAGAAACTGCGAAGGCACGTATGTCCAGATATGCATTAGTGAAGTGTCTTAGCTGGATGCTTCTGGGACCAACACCACCAGTGAAGGGGTTTGGACACAGCAAACTGCTCGGTGAGCCCACGGCATCACTTTCCGAAATGCAGCCTCAGCAAGGACATCACGGAGCCTTGCTCCATCTGTGCCCAGAGCCTCTGTCAATGCCATCTGCACCAACAGCTGTCCCCATGACACTGTGGTGGGCGAGAGCATCTTAACGTTGGCCTAATGCCTCTGGTTCCCATGTAATGGTTGTGCACTAGTGTGGTCCACTGCACCCAGGTACTTCACACAACTGAAGGCTGATAAGTGTTAAGTTTCCACAGCTATGTTTCTGTGAATCTCATTTGTAAAATAAAATTTAAACAGTGATTCTTACCTTAGCTTGTCTAAAATATCCAACAGCTGAAGCCCTGGGAGAACAAAAAAAAGAGAGATATTGGCATTATGACTGACTTGGCACCGATCCCGTATGATCTTTTTATAATGTTATGCTCATAAACACTTTTTGCAGAGAGAAAAAGTGAAAATATCTTCAGATTGATCTGTCAAAGTGGGTAGGATCATCGGGTAAATGAAGAGACCTACGGTACACCACATGTCTGCAGCTGTGTGAACCACTGCAGCACCCCCCTGGAGTTACTGAGGGACACAGGCACTTCTGGGGCACAAGTGACCTCATTCCGAATTAGACATCTAAAATCAGTTGGATGAACGGTGCAGTCAAATGCCCCTTGCTCTCCAGAGAAAAGGATGTGTGCATTACGTGAGGTGCATCCCAACAATGGTACCTAGGACCCCGGAATTCTAGCAGTTGGAAAGTATTTCTGAATCACAGGGCAGCTTCTGTGGCTCAACTGAGCAGACACAGGGCAAAGAAACCTTATTGACTCTTACGAGGAGTTGTTACGTATGGAAATGTTGCTACATAAGATGGCTGGTTATAGAAATGTATTGAAGAAGCTCAAGTGATACAGCGCTGCTGGGATTCCAGAAAAGATGAAAGCTATGGGAAAGAGGCAAAGTTAAAAAAATCTGGTTACAGAAAGATTGTTGAAAAGAATAGAGACAAAAAAAAATAAAAAAAAAAGGAGCCTGCCTTTTATATTTGCAGTTTTGCTCCCCAGCTCTCTTTAGTCACCTTATGGATACATCTGAAAATAAAGCGGCTTGGCAACTGATTTTCTCCAGAGAAAGTTAGGTGCAACAAACACCCTTACCTATGAACTCGTTTCTGATTTGCGTCCTTGTTCTTAGCTCTTCTTTCCCCAGTATGATGGCATTGATAGCACTCAGCAGTGTCACCATGTATGGCACGTTATCTGTGTTGGAGAGCTCGTTCATTATGACGCTGAACCGATACTGCTGGTTCTTCACACTCTGTCAGTAACACAAGTGGTATTTCTGTTCAGACAGTTCAGAAATGTCTGCCACTTTGGTGCAGACTCTCAGATGGAATTAGCACCTTAAAAACTCTCAGTTATTCCACTGTGCACAAGACAGGAAGATACAGGTAAAAGCAGAGCGGGGTCTGGTTGGCAGAGAAAGTCAGTGAAACTCCTCTTGGATCCCTTTATGCTTTCCGATAACTGATGCACCTACCTGAGCTTGTGGCCACTGAAACCCATGGGTTTTGCTAATCTGGTTGTGCTTTTCCTGCTAGAAAGGACCTTATGGTTGGCAGTCATCTGTCCAGACAAGTCATAGAGCAGCACCGTGGACTTATGCTGACCAGGCAAAATTTCCTACAGTTTTCATCATATCATTCCCTGTCTCTCTTACCAAAATGTTGCAAAATGACCTTCATTCCCATCCCTTTTCTGTGGCACCAGGATCTACCTGCATGGATCAGACCAGAGCTATACCCTCCTGCTGCAGCCCAACACTTGCCTTGTAATGGTCCAGGGCATCCAAAGCCAAAGCGTGGCCATCTGATGAGTAAATGCACAGTGCAGCCAGGAGCTCAAATACTTGCTTTTTGACCATGACATTAGTTGTATCAAGTGCTGGAGGAAAAACAAAACAAAAAAGAATTTATAATGACATTAATGTTCTGAATCTCAGTGCTTATGACCAGAGGCAGAAAAAAGACTGAAGGAGTAGAGCCAGTGGGTGAAACATGGGAAGAGATATAACCCCATGTATAGATATCCCATCCTGACAGCATTATGTGATAGTAACTTCTAGTGGGAACAGTAAATGCTACAGGTACCCTATTGGCATTTCGGTACTGCTTATAGTTGTTCATCCCTTCCATGCACCAGTGGCATGCTGCAACAGCAGCCAAGATCTCAGCACTCACAGTCACACATTTTATTTCCCATTTTCACATATGGGTATTTTCTAGAACAGCAGATGAACCATTTTCCTCAATTAATGAGTCTTATTTTTAGTGCAGAGACACCCATTATGCATATCAAGTAGGCCAATTGTTCTAACCAGGCCCCATGTATTCCCTTTTTTCCATTACTCTTTCTCTGTGAGCCCTGGGAGCTGGGATGGAGTGAATTAGACCATCTTATTTTTCCTTTATTAGTGCACAAAGAAGCTCGATGGCTGAAAAGCCCAGGGTACCCCCCATTTTTCACAGCACAAAAATGCCAGCTCTATATTTCACCCTGGTTAAGAATCACAGAATCACTTTGGTTGGAAAAGACCTTTGAGATCATCGAGTCCAACTTTTAACCTAACCCTGCCATCCCACCACTAAACCATGTCCCTAAGCACCTCATCTATCCTTCTTTTAAATACCTCCAGGGATGAGGACTCTACCACCCCCCTGGGCAGCCCATTCCAGAGCCTGACAGCCCTTTCGGTGAAGAATTTTTTCCTAATGTCTAGAAAACACATGGTGGAGAGGAAGGAAGAGGACTTCAAAGCTGAAGAGGGGAGGAAGCTAGCTTTCAGACTAACTGTATTTTAAAGAGCTATTAATAAGGGTTTCTGGGCAAAGCTGCGATCTCAGCTCTGTGAAGCAGCACAGAAGTTATCCTCCCAGAGCCACCACCATTAAGTGCTGTACAGTAAGTTCTAGGAGATGCCCTGATGAGTTTCATACCTAATGATGAGCCAAGTGAATGGCAGGAGAAAATAAATGGTATTACCTACCGCCTTCTAGAAAGAACAGGCTGGGCAGCGCAAGGAACAGGCTCTCTTGAGTCTAAACCATGCCACCTTCCCTCCTCTTTACAGGCTGCAAGTCTCCAAGCTCTTCCCATTCCTCTCCTTCTACCCTTGAGACTACAAAGACTTTAGGTCTCTAGGTCTCTTGCTTTCTCCCACCAAGACTAAAAAGCAAATGTCTGCTGACAACTGAAGGGTTGAGGACTTCTCACACCTGTGTACAGCTAAGGCTGAGCTTACCCCTGGCTTCTCAGTGAACTATGAAGATATTTGTGTGGAAATGAGCCCATCTAAATAGCACTGAGTGGCAAAGGCAATGCCATTTCCAAGCAGTAATATTTTAAAGAAGAAAACACTCTCTTTCCTTAATTAGTTGTGATCAACAACTTGCAAGAAGCCTGGTGTGAGGCAGGAGGATAAGCAACAGAAAAATCATGTGTGTGTCCCCCAATGCTGCATGTGATGGGTAAAGCAATAAGATGTCTTCTCACCTTGGAAGAGTTTTCTGACGTAGCCCTCATTGCTTACAATGTATTCGATGCCTTTGTGGGAGTTCATGACCGCTCGCACACAGTTAATGCAGGTGAGCTGAAGCAAGGCATCAGAAATCCTGGCCACTCCTCGCCCAGACAGCCTGTCCAGAGCCTCCAGGAGGAGGTCCAGCCCACACAGCTCCAGGAACTGGACCATCCAGGCATCATCGCTGTTCTCCAGCCGCTTCTTCAGCCCAGAGTAGTTCACCACTGATGGCATTTGCAGGAGACGGATGCACAGCTCCGGCTCTGCATTTTCCAGGTTGGCCTCTGACTGGTCTGTTTCCTGGGGTCCAAGTTTCTCCTTCAGGGCAGCCCACTTCTTGTGGGCACCTTCCTTTTTGATTGACATTGTGAACAGTTTGTCCTGAAAGAAAAAGAAAAGACAAAGTGAGAAGTTTGTCTGGACTGACCAACAACCCTCTGGCAGCTCTGGTTTTCCTCCTAGCAGTCAGGATGTAAAGCTTAACTGCAGCAGGTCCCTGCTCCTAGGTCAGCTCTCCAGCACGCAGGACACACACTGGAACCAGTCCTCTCCTGAAAAAACTCAATATATCCCCTCCTTAACCACACGCATTATATTCAGGCCCTGAAAACTCTGTAGAGAGACTCTTAGCACATCTAAGCCAGCAAATACAGCTTTAAAAGTAGCCAATTTACACCGGTCAATAGCCACTACCTATTTTCATGCAGCGAAAGGATAAGGTTGGAAGCGGCATTATCAGCTCCAAACTCCTTATGCCCATTAAACCACTTCAAAATCTCACTGTTCTGGAGAGGCTGTGCAGTTTCTAAGCATTTGTAATGGGATGGAGAAGTAATTTTGAGCATATCCTGCTCATAAGAGCATCCGATTACCCTGTTATTTTTTGCTTTTGTTTCTTTTGACTGCTGCGGAGGTTAGTTTTATAGCACTCACTTAATCTCTTCCTGTCTGCTGTAATGTGGTGCTTGTGCGTGACAACGTGAGAGCCCCACAGGTTGCAAGCGGAGGGACAGCAGCGGGAGGCTATGAACACAGCAGGGCGTCTTTTCGGAGGTGGGGAGCATCTCTTCAAGGCCCATCTCCCTGGAGGACATGGCATGTCTCAGCCACGCTGTTAGCAGCAAGGAGGGCGAGGAGCTGATTCAGCGCAGAGAAATAGCAAAGCTAAGTCTCATTAACCCTTGGTGCCAAATTTTATGTTTGAGGCAGGATCCTTATTTTTCAGATTCACAGTGATTAAGTTATACAGTGCAAGTTCTTTTCAAAGCTGAATGCAATAGCTTTAAAGCTGACCTGCTCCCAGAGAGGACAGTTTGTCCCACAGAAGGGGGATAAACGGCTGGACCCAAAGTGAGCCACTAACGCTACCTCCCCTCCCCGCCACGTGACCAGGACCTCTGCTTTCCTGGGCTGGGGAGCCCACACCGGGCTCAAAATAACCTGGGGAGCAGCTGGCACCCAAAACCCAGCACTTGGGGGATTACAGAAGAACATAACTTTCCATTACCACCTCCAGCTCAAGGGTTCCTAGCCCTGCGGCGCATAGGGAAAAGCTTGAAAAAATCTAAACTGAAATATCTCTGAAAGGTTTTATTTGCCAGAAAGCAAAGATAAAGGATGGACCATTTACAACGCTTGGAAATAATCTCATTATTTTAAAGCCTGCTTTGTGATTTTTCCCAGGGACTGCACTGCTGTGAAAGGTCCTGGCTGCTTCACCACAGCAGAGACACATGGCTTCTGGTTTACCCCTTGAGAAATACACAGCCCAAAAGTTTGCTTACTAATTTGCGGTAGGCATTTAGGGCGTGATATTATAGGCCTAAACATGCCTCTTGGGAAGATGGGAAGTGTGGTGGGGTGGGATATTCGAGAGAGCTCAAGCAATTCCCCTGGAGCAGGGCGATGGTGGGACTCTGGCAGGGGCACTCAGCTGACAACTCAGGGCATCAAAGGCTGTACTGAGTAAGGGTCAGGGGGTGGTGGAATTAGGGGCATACAGTCACAGAAAATCCTTTTAGAGAGCTCTGGTGAATCCCTCTTGCAGAGTTTCCCTTTGCTTCAAAGGGTAAAGAACTGGCCAAGTGCCCAGTTGTTCACTGTTCTGTTATCTGCAAAAATGATGATCATGATCGAAACACATGAAGTTGCGAATATACTATCCAAGAACACACTGTACAGCTGAAAAGTAATACAAAGGACCACGGAAAAAACCCCCAAACCCAAACAAACCCTCCTGCCACGGTACTGGCTTGAGTTTCTCAGACTTGTCATCACTGCCTGCAGCCGGAGCACTTACTCACTCCTGGAAAAATTCTTGTTGGAGTTCGTCACCCCCAGTCTCTCCTCTGCACTCAAGCCCAGGAATTTGGGTTAGGCTCCATGCAAAGGAGAGAAATCCTCCTTCCCCAGAGGGCGAGAAGCGAAAGTGCCCTGCCCAGGGTCACAGCCCTGGCCATGAGGCAGCGTCCTACACCTCTCACCACAGTGAATTTGCAGTCACGGGGCTGGAGAGATGCTCGTAAGGAGCTGTGGTCAAATCCTGCCCTGTGCTGTGATTGAGCCCAGTAGTCCTCTTCCAGTGCCTCTGGGTGAAGATCTGCAGTGTGGGGAGGTGCTGAGGACCATCCGCGTGGGGTGGAGCACAGCTCATCCTGCCCAGCCCTGTTCTTTGGTGGCTCCCCCAAAGACCCAAGATCCCTCAGCCTCCAAGCTGACCTGGGTAACTCAGAATCCACTGGCCCGGATTTTTTACTTCTGGGCAGGGGATGGACAGAAACCCAAGGGCTGGCAGCGGGGAGCCAAGATGAGCCCTAGCTCACCGGGTGGGACTCATCCCTCCTCTTGGCTCTGCTGTGACCCAGCCTCTTTCCTCTCTGCAAAATGAAAGCGTGCACAGAGCAGAGAATCTGGCTTTGGGCCCCGTGTGTGCAGGGAAGAGCCTTGTGGTCCCGCCAGGTGAGAAAGCCTGCAGGAGCGGCCACCGGAGGAGGACAGTCCTCCCAGCTCATGCCCCGGCTCTGCCCTGCCCGGAGCTGTGCCGGGAATGGTGCCGTTCAGCCGAGGGGCTGCAGAAGTGGCCGCTGGCCGCAAGCTCCCCCTCTCGCAGAATGCCTTCTTTTTATACTCAGCAAATCACTTTTGGTTTTTGCATATGACAAAACGTTTCTTATCGAACCAGATAACGAAGCGGGCTGGCTTTTTGCTCCCAGTTGTACAAACACTTCATTATATATCATATCAGCTACAGAAAGTCAGAGAGATTGTGATAGCATTATTGACCTCAGGCTTAGCTGATTTGTGAAAATTAAGCTCAACCAGTGCAACAGGAGGCAGGAAATACCGACAGAGCGTCCTGTTTACCAGGGGATTTGTTCTGAATTATCCTTTCCTCCCCACCTGCTCCACACAGATGTGAAGACATGAGAAACAAACCCAGGCAGGTACCTCTTCAGACAGTACCGGCTTGTGTTTTTATGCACTAAGCTGTACAAATTGGATTGATTAAATACGCTTTCCCACAGAGAGTGCCATCTTTTTATGGGGAAGAAAAAAAGATAGCTAATGTACCTAAATTGTACAAAGGGAATAAAGTAAATAGGAGTTATACCATATAAATGGAAAGGAAATAAATATGGAGGAGACCGCAGTACGATTCTGCAGATGGTGTGATAAATTTGTTTACAAACACAGGTATGAGTGATGTATTATGAATGCAACATCTTCCCATATTTTCCATGAAGCAGAGTGTTGCAAAGCCATGCAGGTACATCCTTAAAGGGCTGGTAGCTTCACCTTTTCTCTCTGACCACAGGAGCTTATTAGCAGGTAAATGATCTCAGCAGGGTGAGACAGATAAGAGATTAAAATGGTAGGCATCTATCTGGCTGCCTCAGAGGCCACTTAGACTAGGCTGGCTGATGAGGAAAGGGAAGTCCCCTGACAAAAAGAGACAAGGCTCTAGACTTAAAAGGCTGAATACATTTTGCCTTCTGCCAGCAGAAGGGCACAGGGAGCTTTGCTTTCTTCTGCCCAGGCCACAGAGGAGAATGCGCTGGTGGAAGCAATGTCCCCGACCTCTGTGCCCAACCGTGCTTGCAGCACCCAGGGTCTGCCCTCCCCAGGTGCTCAGCATCGGTGCTGGGTGCTGCTCCCTAGGGCACATCCTGATGGTGCCTCTGTGCTTCCCGCTGTGGGGACACCCACAGCACTCGCTGTGATAAATGCAACCCTCTTCTCGTCTTGCTTCTCAGCCTCAGAGGTTGGTTAGGCCTGATGGGGAATGACAATTAAAGAAGCATCGATGTAAAAATACCCTTCACTTGAAGAGATTCCCTTGGGAAACATAAAGGCATCATAAAGGCTCGTCCTCTTGCACCTGGACACAGCAACACTGCGGTTCACGGTGTGAACTTTTTGGATCGTTGGGTTTGCAAAGCTGTGATGTTCCCTGCATCCATCCAACCCAGTTCATAAAATTTCCTCCTCCTTTGTTTTTGAATCAGGTGCTTCCCAGATTCAGTTTTCTGTGCCCCTCTGTCCTTCAAGTCAGCTCCTAGGGAGACGACATCTGTGGGAGATAAATCAGGGCACGTCAACGCGTTCTCCATCCTGTGAAGCTGTGGAGAACAGAGCTGCACAGCACAGCTTTCAGTCTAAATTATTACATGCCTCCAGGATGACATGGATCACAGTAAGGACCTGGGAGGACATGTAAAAAGAGATTTCTCAGGGCAGCTAAGTATAATTGAGTGAAAAAAAAAAGGGAGAAAAATTACAGGCCAAAACCATTCTGATCTTCTGGGAGCAGACCTGCTGCCCAGGCTGCAGGGGTGGGGGGCATAAGGGGGAACAGCAGCTCCTTGCTGCCCTCTGAAGAAGTCTGGTCCCGGGTGCTGCCCTCGCAGGCCCCTGCAAGGCTGCTGGGGCACACCACCGGCCCCTAAGAAAAGGTCTTTTTTTGCTGCTCAGCCCCTCCTCCCTTCCCTGCCCGTTCCTGGCACTCAGGAGCCCGTTCTGCCTGGCTGACTGCTAATGATAGGTTTTGCTTCTGGGTAGTGCCAGTTTTCACTCTGCCGCTGGGAATATGCCGAGCCTTTGTATTTTGCAACATGTCAGACTACTCAGTCACTAAAAAGAAACAACATCCTGGCTTTGTGCTTTCCAAAACCTCTTCAAGAAGCGTGATGAGTTTGTTCCTCCTCTCCTCTTGCTTTCATTTGTACTTTTGTGTTTTTCCATGCAGGATCCAAGCAGCTCGTGCACATACGTGCTAATGAAATCATCCTCCCACATGCCGCAAGAAGTCGGGGGGGACACCACAAATTTCCATTTTTGAAACCAACCTGACCCCTTGGTGTGGGCCTGTTAGCGTTGATAGGAACCAGCAGCGTTCGTAGTCTCCCAGGGGAGCTGACAGTGAGGGTATGGTGGGACGTTGAGGTGTGCAAACAAAAGGCATGGTTTGCCCAACAGACCCTGCCTCAGCACGCGAACCAACCGCTGCTCCATCCTTTTTCTGCCATAGCCGGTAGCTTCAGCCACCTTCAGACCTAGGTATTCTTGATCCTCAGCTGTATCAGAGGCAAGGATGAGTGATTTATGCTTAAAAAATTAAAAGGCTTTGGAATGAGTGCCCGGTCTTGCTCCGCATTACTGAAGTTCATGAAGCCTCCAGCACACTATGCTTTGCTTTGGCACAGCCCACGCGTGAGGCGAAGAGGAGCTCTCACAAAGCAGCCCAGGTCGGCTGCGTCCTCAGAGGCGCTGCGTCGTTACAGGGAGCGTTTTGTCCTTAGCAAACGAGGGAGCACGGACACGCAGCCGGGCAGGAGCTGTGCCATCCACGTGCTGGCTGGTGGCAGCACGGGGCTGGCAACGGCGTCTTCTGGCAGCAAACTCCCAGAAAAGGACTTCAGTGCATAGAGAAAAAGGACCGTGGCCGTGCTGGTATACGTGTATGTGCAGTTTGCCAGTATAGCTTACTCTTTTACAAAGAAAGGAAAAAGACATTGTCCTGATTCAGTCCCATCCACCGCTATTAGGATGCTGTGTGCCAGCACGGCTTCTCTCTGCTGGGCAAATATAAGCTACGATATCGTCTGATGTCTTGCCCAAGTGGTAAACGTCCCCATTCAGTATGCACTGGCAGTGGCGGGGTTACACCAGGATTAACTACACCAGTAAAAATAATCACCGGTGCCTTCTTCCTCGCCAGTAAATAAGCAAGTAAATAAATCATCAGGCTGCTACAAGGTACCACATACAAATCAAGCTCAAGTGAGATGCTCAAGGATGTTTACGTTAGGATCTTCAGCGGCATCTAAAGCCTTATTTATATTTAAAGGTTGCACCAGCTGAGCTTTAAATGGGTTTGAAACCACCCTTCATTACAACAGTAACACTGTCTGAGATGCTCAATAACCAATTTACCTCAACCCGGTAAGCCAGGTTTAAATCAGGTTGGTGCAGCTGTCAGACCTTCGCTTCAGAAACGGCCACTGCCACCGGGGAGACATGGCCAGAAGGAAGGCGCCAGCCTTCCCTATCTGAGTGCCAAGTCAATTTAAAAAGCTTTCCACAGTGGGTATGAGCCCTGCGGCATCCTCGCCTGCTACCGCTGGCCTTCGGAGGCCCAGCGGATTTCGGGCTGGAGGGATGCCAGGTGGTAGCCAGCACTCGCCCCATGCAGGGGGTGCCGGCTCCCAGCTGCACTGCAGCAAACAGGGCTGCAAACGCTTCCTCCCCGCTGCCCTCAGCAGACCCACGGGAGCCAGCGAGGCATCCTGACCCCAGCCGGAAAGGAATGGGACTCTGGTCCAGATCCCATGAAAATCCTGATGGAGTGTAAGGCGGGTCTGGAGGCTCCCCCTGCTCCCTGCTCCAGCACCCGCATGCTCCAGCATCCACCCTGCAGCAGCGATTCCAGCATCGTTTGGCATTTTGGGATGCAATTTATTATTATGACTTGGGGGTCACGTGAGAAGCAGAAACTGTTACCCAGCAACATGGACAGTGCGGCGGTAACTTTCTAAGACTCTCCCTGTTCCTGCTCAATGGGAAGGTGTCACACGAACATATTATGAGAGCCAAAAACCCTTTATTGCTTTTTTGTTTGTTTTTAAGCACCTCCACAGGATGCCACAAGGACAAAGAAAATGGACAGAGGAGAGAATTCCTACCTCAGAGCTGAAGCCAAATTATTCTCTTGCACGAAGGATCCTTCTCACCGGCTCCCCTGCCAGCTCATTTTCTCCTTCTCTGCCAAGCAACCTTCCGTCAATAAAGTCTAAATCCCTGAATGAACGCGTCTGCAAATCGCACGCTCTAAGAACATTCAACAGGATGTCTGTGTCTAATAGTATGTAAATGCCAGTTTTCAGAAAGGTGCAAGCAAGTGACTTTTCTGTAGCCTCCAGGAAAGGCATTTGCATGTCATTTGTCACCCCTCTGCATTCACTCGGTGCTGACCGCTGGCACGGGGTGACTCAGAGCAAGGAAATGATCAAAGCAGGGAAATGATCTGGCAAAGGAAAGGGAAAAAAAAAAAAAAAACAGGAAAAAAAGAGGAAGAAGGATGGCTGGGGCAGGTGGGATGGAGAGTGTGGGGGTGGCAGGCAGTGGGGACAGCCCCTTGCACCTTGCATCAGCCACGTGGGGTTTTCTGGCTTTGTGGCACCGGGGCTTTAAAGACTGCAAGATCTCAGAAGTCTTTGAAATGCTGGGAGGGCCAGGACAGCTTAAAATAGGGAGGATGCCCAACCCAAGGCAACTCACCCTGGGATTAAGAGCTAGGACGGGAGAGGCACAGCAAAGGCTGGAGGCTCCAGCAGCGACCCCCTGGGCATGTGCTTGATGGTGCGAATCCTGCCCTCACCAAGGCACCCCTAAGGTCCTGCTGAGCTTCGGTCCAGCCTGGCTTGTACGGGCTGAGCAGGCTTTCAACAGAAAACATCTCTGCGCCTTTCTGGTCGAGATTTCACATGGAAACTAGTTTGCGAGCCACAGCTGTAAAATGCATCCATTCAGCCTCTCAGGAGGTGTTGACTGAAAGCCAGATATTATTAAATTGTGAATATTTCAACACGGCCCATTGTAGCAGAGACCTCCTGCCTGGCTCAGGGAAGCAGTTAAGACTTCAAATACTGTTTTTTTCTTACTCTGTGAAGCCTCTACCCTGAATTGAACCCCCTCGCTCAAAAGTTGGAGCTCCCAGCAAGAGTTTTCCTGCCTTGGTGGGGAAACTCAACCCTTGTGTACACGAGCACAGCTCCACCAATATTAAAAAACCACTGATCTCTCTGCCCTTCGGTCCAAATTCAGTGAGCCTTTAAGAGATGAACTTGCTCGCATGCTTTCTAATTAAGGCAGTTCCACCATAACAATTCCACATCCAGGGAAATGACTCTGCAGAGCTCCCCATCCTGCTGCAGGAAGCACGCTGACGGCGTGCCTGTACAACCCAAGACAAACATTAATTCACGATGGGCTTTACAGCAGTGAATGAGCTTCACTTTACGTTATGTGGACTCCTGAGGTGTAATCCTCAAGCCCTCAAAAGATGAGTCACTAATCTGGTTCTTGGGAGCAGGATGGGGCTCACTGCAGGGGTTTTTTTGGGGAAAAAAAAAAAAGTTAAGAGAAAAAAATTCCTTTGAAGAAAGGATTGTTAATGTTGCAAATTCCTTTCCTCGCAACCATGGAGGAAATTTAAAGGGCTATCAGCTCCCATTGGGTTTCATCTGAAGCCTGAACCTGTGAGATATGCCAGAAACGTTTGTGTTCTTAGAAAGGCTGCATCATCTGGCATGTAAAACAATAAGCAGAAGCAGAGGAATCGGGCTAAAAAGCAGAAAAACCAGCTCCAGGGCTGCAGTGTCCCTCTGTGGGCCCCATGGCACAGGAACAGCAGCAGCAATGGGCAGCAGCTGAGAAAAATGCGGGGGTTTGGATCCCAGCTCCTGCATCCCTTGTTCTGCTCCCAGGTGTCGGCAGCCCTGCCTGGCTGCTGCAGGCAGCTGCCCGCGCCCTCGCCAGGCTCCATCACCAGCCCTCATGGGAGCAGCTCGCCGACAGACGGATGCTTCTGCACCCGGCCAGGCTCAGCCTCCAGCCGAGCTCCCTCCATCCCACTGTCTGTAGCTCAGCCCTTGCAAAGGTGTTTGCTTTTCATGGCACAACCAGAAAGAGTCCACGCATGGGGCTGTGTCACTGACTGAATGCTTTAGGCACTGCCCGGGCAGTTTCCTCAGCACCCCTGGCCTCCTCTTCCTCTGGAGGAAGCAGCAGCAGTCCCATGCTGATGGGCTTGGAGAGGGGTGCTGGTGGGGAGTCTGAAGGCTTATCTCCCAGGAGACCCAAGTGCTGTCCTGGGGAGCAAAGATTTGCCCTCAAAACCACAAGGATGTAGGATGTTAAGAGCGTAAAAGCTTTTATGGATCCCTCCTTTCATGCCTGAGCTTCTGTCCCAGCAACTTTGCTTTCAGGTTGCTCAGAGAGGGCTAATGGTTTTCCCCCAGCTAATCAGCCCAGTGTTACCCCAATTTTCTAGCAGATGATTTTGGGGTCCTCTGATTAGTAGTTACATCAAAATGAGACAGATGTAAATCAAGAACTGAAAGTTTAGTTCCATGTTAGGTAAAGAAGAGCCGAGACCCTCTACAGCTCCAGCATCTCTCTGCTACCTCTGGATCGCAACGCCATGGCTCCCCTGCCCATATGGTAGGTAAATGAAATGCAAGAATCTAATTAAATAGAAATAAATACATGCCATTTGCCTTTAGGAATTAGATTATTCCTAATTACAGCAATCAGTGTCTTCTCACTGCTCTGTGTTTATGTGGCAAATCATCTCCTGTGTCAGTGGCTTTTCTTTTAAGTTGTGTCAAGGATTTTGGAAAGGAGACACCCAGCTCATTTCTGGCTGGCAGGGCTGCGATGGCTCTTTTGAGGTGATCCTGCCTAAAATGCCTGGTGTCATCTGCTACTAAATTACTAAACATCAGCACAGCCAGTATTCAAGAATTACAGGTATAATATTTGCCTCTGCATCTCTGTGACCAGCTGGTTGGGTACTGCAGCTCCTGTGGAGCCTGTGAAGACAACCACATCTTTATAGGGGAAAAATTAAGGTATGGGAAGAAATCTGGATAATTCAATGACACTCCATCGTTCATCTGAGAACTGAACTCTGTGTTAAGCAACCAGAAGGTCCGGTGTCAAAGAAAAGTGCTGAAAGGGCACTGAAAGGGGGTTTGGCCAGATGAAGATATACACAATTAGGCGGAGAGCCCAATCCTCCTCCAGCCCACAAGGCAGGGAAGGCATCTGGCCTTTGCAGCATGCCCCTGTACCACGGGGACAGCGGGAAACGCCAGAAGAGCTGCTGGGGAGCAGATGGGGTGGCCCAGCGATGACCTTCCCAGGCTCTGGGAGAGCACAGCGAAAGCAGCTGGCTTGCTCCCCCCCTTGGGGAGCTGAGACATCTGAGCATCCTCAGGAAGTTGCGGCAGCAAGATGGGAGCTGCAAAGCTGACTGCTCGCTCTTCTGCTTCCCAAATTTCTCTGCTTTCCTTGGAGACTGACACCCCTCCAGTCCTCTTGTCACAGACCAGCTGACTGCTTTTCTGCTGGATACATTCACTTTAGATGATGCTATAAAGAAGGGGGGAAAAAAAAGCCCTCTGAAGTAGTCCTTATCTTCAGACAATGAAAATAAAGAACTTTGCTACTGCCAGCACACATGTATTTCCTAGAACTTTGTATTTAATGGGGTTGATCTGCTTTAAACAACCAAAACATCTGCTCTGCAGCTCTTCTGGTACGAAATTTATGCAACAAAAAACATCCTGTTTTGGGGTGGGTACTTCCAGCTGGGGAGACTACTGTATCGACCGTCGGGAACTCGGTGCTTTTTTTGGACAGGTGATGACAAAATTTTGTGTCAAAACCCCACACTGCACCGGCAGTTCTACCCAGAGCTAAGGGCACAGACCCATGCACGGGTTTCTAAAGGAGGGATGTGCTCCTAAGCACAGGCTGGGTAAAGAGCCTGGTATTTATTCAGTTTATTTGTCCTGCATACATATATTACACCCATGCTAAGGTTGCAGGGGAACCGCTTAGGAATTGCCAGCAAGAAGGCTGCCCAGGCGGCTGAACTCTGCTCCCTTGCACACACACGGCTGCTGCAGCAGCAAGAAGATGTAATTACAGAAAAAAAGACCTTTTCAGCCCTGCCCCAGCAGGTGAGAGGCAGGCAGGACCTGTGCTGGTTTTAGTCATACTCCTCCTGCACAGGCACGCCCCTCCCTCGCTTGCACAAGGGTGAAGATCTTTGGGTAGAGAATAGCTCTTCCCCCAAATCTGGTGTGACCCAGGAGGTCTGCAGGGGAAAGGGCTGTAGGCACCACTGCGCCAAAGAGCTGCTCATATCCGTATCAATGTTTCTGGACGTCCCTGCTGGAAAAAAAAAAAATCTATGGAGACACCAGAACGGTGCACACAGAAGCAGCTTTTCCCAGCTGTTCTCCAAATGGGCTGCAAACGCTACTCCCTCCTATCGAGATGAGCTTTTCCATTCAGCCACTGATGAATCACGGTGGCTGGTATCTCACCTGGTGAACAGCCCAAGAGCAAACATCCTGAACATTTTTGTTCAGATAAGGCTGAGCTTAGCCAGGATTCCTAATGGCACAGGCAAAGTATGTATTGCACACGTTAAGCAGAACAGACCCAGATACTGCCAGGTACTTCCCTGCGCGCCTGTCTGAATACGAACGCTATTAGGAGTAACCAGAGAACATGCTCAGCTGCTAATTCAAGAAGTTAAGCGTTTGAGCCGTTTAAAACGAATTCTTGCACAGAGCAGAAGAGTGGCTTAGCATGATTTCAAAACTAATCCACTCCAAAGATCCCTTCAGAATATTTTCTCTACTGCTGGGTGAAAAAGTTTGAAGTCCCTATTTTACAACACAGTAATCCTAGAACATTGGCTGGCTTAACTCTTCATTTTGCTACAGTACTTGGTCCAGCTGTTTCCAGAGGACCTAAAGCTGTCAGTGCTAAAAAGATCTCTTTCCAGTTCTAACCTGCAGTCTTGGAATTAATGTGAAAGGATTTGAGTATGGCCCAACCAGCTGGAGGTTTATGATGAGATATTCTCATACTGGGGCAAAATGACCTTCCCATACACAGGTCTAATTTACATACAGGGTACCTTATACCAACACTTTGATCTCTTTTAGTTTTTCCTACGTAAGATTTTAAATCACTTTAGAAACAAGTAGTTGATGTTGGATTTTTCTTTGCAAAGAAATCAGTTGTTCAATCGTATCCTCAGGTTTGCACAGCCCAAAGAGC